GTTGCCCAGGCTGGAGTCCAGTGGTGTGATCTTGGTGTGATCACTGCAACCTCCAAGTGATTCTCCTGCCTCATCCTCCCAAGCAGCTGGGATTACAGGCATGCGCCACCACCCCTGGCTCATTTTTGTATTTTTAGTAGAGACCAGGTTTCACCATGTTGGTCAGGCTGGTCTCGAACTCCTGACCTCAGGTGATCCACCCACCTCGGCCTCCCACAGTGCTGGGATGACAGGCGTGAGTCACTGCACCTGGCTCCAGGTTGTTTTCTTATTGTTGAGTTTTAAGAGTTCTTTGTATATTTTACATGACAGTCCTTTTCAGATGTCTTTTGCAAACATTTTCTCCCAATTTGTGGCTTGCCTTTTTATCCCCTTGACAATGTCTTTCACAGAGCAGAAATGTTTAATTTTAATGAAGTCCACTTAAGTAACACTTTATTTCATGGATTGTGCCTTTGGTGTCGTATCTAAAATTCGTTACTGCATCTGGGCCATCTGGATTTTCTCCTGCGTTGCCTTCTGTGAGTTTTGTAGTTTGATGCTTTGCACTTCGGTCTGTGGTCCTTTTGGAGTTAATGTGAAGGACGGAAGGTCTCTCTGTAGATTGTTTGTTTTTACACATGGGTGTCCAGTTGCTCCAGTACCATTCGTCTAAGAGACTGGTTGTTTTTTTTTTTTTTTTCCATTAGAGTACCTTTGCTCCTTTGTCAAAAATCAGTTGACTGTATTCATATGGTCTATTTCTGGACTCTGTTCTGCTCCATTGATCTGTTTGTCTCTTCTTTTGCCAATGTCATACTGTCTCGATTACTGTAGCTTTATAATAAATCTTGAAGTTGGGCAATGTTAGTCCCCCAACTTTGTTCTCCTTCAGTATAATGTTGGCTATTCTGGGTCTTTTTGTTTTTGTTTTTTTTTTTTGAGTCTTGCTCTGTCACCCAGGCTGGAGTGCAGTGGCACGAACCCAGTTCACTGCAACCTCCGCCTCCCAGGTTCAAGCAATCCTCCTGCCTCAACCTCCCGAGTAGCTGGGATTACAGGCACACACCACTATGCCTGACTAATTTTTGTATTTTTAGTAGAGATTTTTCCATGTTGGCCAGGTTGGTGTTAAACTCCTGGCCTCAAGCAATCCTCCTGCTTTGGCCGCCCCCCTCAAAGTGCTGGGATTGTAGGTGTGAGCCACCACGCCTGGCTTGTTTTGTTTTTTTGTGTCTTTTGTTTTGAAATGAAGTCTCACTCTGTCACCCAGGCAGGAGTGCAGTGGCATGAACATGGCTCCCTGCAGCCTTGACCTCTGGGCTCAAGTGATCCTTCTGCTGAAACCTCCTGTATAGCTGGGTCTATAGGCACACAACACCATGCCTGCTAATTTTTTGATCTTTTATAGAGATGGGGGTCTCACTTTGTTGCCCAGGCTGGTCTTGAACCCCTGCCTCAGTCTCCCAAAGTGCTGGGATTACAGGTGTGAGCCACCATGCCCGGCTGCTATTCTGGGTCTTTTGCCTCCTCATATAAACTTTGGAATCAGCTTGTCGATACCCACAAAGTAACTTACTGGGATTTTGATTGCATTAACTCTATAGATCAAGTTGGGAAGAACTGAAATCTTAAAATACTGAGTCTTCCTATTTATGAACCTAGAATATCCCTCCATTTTTTAGTTCTTTTTGATTTTTTCCTTAGAGTTTTAGAGTTTTTCTCATGTAGATCTTGTGCATATTTTGTTAGATTTATACGTAAGTATTTCGTTTTAGAGTTGCAAATGTAAGTGATAGTGTGTTTCTAATTTCAAAGTCCACTTGTTCATTTGCTGGTGTATCGGAAATTGATTGACTTGTCTGTTAATCTTGTATCCTTCAACCTTGATGTAATAGCTATTGGGTCCAGGATGTTTTTTTTTGTCAGTTCTTTCAGATTTTCTGCATAGACAATCATGTCATCTGTGAACAAAGACAGTTTTGCTTCTTCCTTCCCAATCAGTAAACATTTTACAGGTTGAGTGCGTGTTATCTGAAATGCTTGGGACCAGAGGTGTTTTGGATTTCACGTTTTGAAATCTCCGCCTTTTTTTCTTCCCCCCTCCCCTCCCTCTGGAATCTGCATTTTTTTCCTTCTCCCTCCCCTCCTTCCGGAATCTTTGCGTTATACTTAACCAACCGAGCACCCCTAATCCAAACATTGGAAATGTTCCAGTGAGCATCATGTCAGCACTCAAAAAATTTCAGATTTTGGAGTATTTTAGATTTTCAGATTAAGGATGCTCAACCTGTGTTTTCTTTTCTTGTGCCAAATAAGTCCTTATTAAGCCAGGAATTTGGAGGTTAAAAAAAAAAAAAAACACGAAAGTGTGGGGTCCCCTATGACTTGGGTCCCTGGAGTTTTTAGCTGTCAGCCTTGCCTACTCCAGTCTGTCAGTTACATTCCTGGTTTTCCTCCCGACACTGGTTCCCACAGAGTTTTCAGCTCATGAGTCTCTGCTCTGGTAAGTTGCGATGCTCTGTTCGCCTGTTGGTCTCCCCAGTTTGGTGGGCAGTGGTTTGCCCTGTGACCTTACTGCTCTTACGGATCTAAGAAGAGTTGTTTTTTTCAGTTTGTTCAGCTTTTTACCTATTGTTAGGTAGAGTGGCAACTTCCAAGCTCCTTACTTATGTGAAACTGCAAAGCAGAAGTCTCTATCATTTTGGTTTATACATTTTAATTGTTAATCTGTTTGCTTAACCAGCAACACTGAGTGTTCCTGTCCTGTCATCAGGCAAGTTTTAGAAACCTTGTCTTGGAGGTGTTGGTGGGAAGCAGCTTTTGTCTTGTCTGGAAGTGTGTACATTTCCGTTTGTTCAAGGTGGTTGCTGTCTTCTGGCTTCCCTTGTTGGCTGTTGTTGAAATCATTGGCTGCCCTCCAAATCACTTATCTTTGATTGGTAAATATGTCTTTTCTATCAGGCTCCTTATAAGAATATTCTGTTTTCTGCTCTTTCACTAAAACAAGATAAGAGATTTGTTTTTACTTGCCCCGTTGGATATTTTGTGTGCTTCCTGGGTCTGGACTGTTGGATGGGTTTTGAGAAATCCTCAGATGTGTCTTCAAGCGTCACCTCTACTCCACTCCCTCTCTCCTCCCCTGGGATGCCGGTGAGATGTGAGTCTCGACATTTCATCTCATCCTTCTGTGTCTCCTCAGCTGTCTTTCGTATTTTCCTTCTTGTCTCTCTTTCATTTCGGATGACTTCTTGAGTTCCGTCTTCCTAGTCACAAGTACTCCCTTCAGGCAGGGAGTGGAACAGTCACTCCGCAGGATAGGTAAGACCGTTTTGCCTGTTAATAGAGTTCATCTCTGAAGATTCCATTTGCTTCTGTTTTCAGATGTGCCTGGGCCGTTTTGCTGGCCTCTTCCTGCTTGCTACTGCTTATCATCTGTGAGTCTGTATTTATTTATATGTTTATTATTTTTTATTTGTTTGAGACAAAGTTTCGCTCTTGTTGCCCAGGCTGGAGTGCAATGGTGCGATCTCAACTCACCGCAGCCTCCGCCTCCTGGGTTCAAGCGATTCTTCTGCCTCAGCCTCGAGAGTAGCTGGGATTACAGGCATGTGCTGTCATGCCCTGCTAATTTTGTATTTTTAGTAACAATGGGGTTTCTCCATGTTGGTCAGGCTGGTCTTGAACTCCCGACCTCAGGTGATCCGCCTGTCTCAGCCTCCCAGAGTGCTGGGATTACAGGCTTGGGCCACCGTGCCCAGCCCATCTTTATTTCTTTAAGCATGTGGATTCTACTATGTATCTGTAACTCTTGCGTCTGAAGTGTCCATCTGTCATTTCTGCGGACTCCCATTCACAGTTGCTCATGTTCTTTGGCATTTGGTGACCTCAATTAGGATGTCAGTTCTTGCTGGGTCATGACCTTGGTGACCCTGAGGTCTGGGATGTACATGTCTCCCTATACTTGGGGTGGGCCCACCATTTGCTTTCTGGGCTTGGCAGCCTTTGCTCCCCAGAGCACATGCCCTGCTTTGGTGCTTGTCTACCCCCTGAGTGCCCTGCCGTGAAAGGGAGGGTGTGTCCATTCCTGCAGCTGTGCCTGGCCACTTGCAAGCCTGCAATATATTAACACATCCGTTTGATTCAGGAGCTGTAGGCAGGGACTGCATCAAGAACCTGGCCACGTGGGCCCTGTGCCCCTTCTGTGTCTGTGCTGTGGCTTCTCCGTCCACCCTGTGTCCTCGCTGTCTGCCAGGCCATTTTCCTACACTTTTTCTCTCCGTCGTCGGTTCTTTGTGTCGCATTCCCATGGGCGGCCACAGACCAGCTGCTTGGTGCCGCACCCCGTGCTAGGTCCCGGTCAGGGCGTTGACAGCTCTGGGTTCCTCCCAGGTAGGTGGAGGGCAGACACGAGTGCAGTTGGGACATGTCTCATACCTAGAGTGCGTGTGCTCAGGACCTGGATTACACAGATGCCACGTTGTGCTGGGATTGGTTTTTCCTCCCATTCCATGGTGTGGGAAGTGGTGGGGGGGCTTCTGCAGTCAGTGGCATCAGGGAGATGGGTCCTTTGAGACCTCCAGGACCAGTGCCCTGCCTGCCTCTTCTAACCTCTGGCCATCTCCATCATGAACGTTTTGAACGCACCGAGTGGTCGTGCTGTAGGTGACTCGCTGTGCGCTCCTGCCCAGCCTCTGCCCATGACCCTTCCCTGCAGGGCCCAGGTAGGCTGCACGCACTTCCCAGGCGCACCCTGGCCCTCCACCTCTTTGTGCCTCTGCACCCTTGGTCCCCTCGGCTCTGCTCCTCTGCGTTCATGTGAGACCCGCTGGTTTGTGGAGCCTTGTATTCGTCCCAGCTGAGCCAGTTGTGTAAGCGTCACCGTCTCCCTGGGAGACGGTGACTCGTCACAGGTCAAGGCCAGCATCTTTGAATTCAGGGCTCTAACGGCTCACTCCGGCTGCACGAGATGTGCTCGTGTGAGGTGTGCGGCCCACTCCTGGAGTTTCGTTTCTCTTCAGGCCTTGCTCGAAGAGGCCAAGGATTTGCTCTCCGACTGGCTGGATTCTACACTCGGCAGGGACGTGACTGACAATTCCATCTTCTCCGAACTGCCCAAGTTCTGGGAGGGGGAGTTCCACAGAGACATGGAAGCTCTGAACGTGAGTGTCACAACTGTCTTGTGCTGGCTCTCTTGCGCTAAGGGTCCTGATTTCTAAACTCCTGCTTTGGTAAAGCCAGCTCAGTGAAGTGGCCAAGCCAACATGGAACTGGAGCTGAGGGACATAAGATGGGCTTTGGTTTTATGAATTGGTGACATTTTCACGGAGCGCGTGGTTTTCTCTTGCCTTGCGCAGGTGCTCCCTCCAGATGTCTTAACCCGGGTTAGTGAGTATGTGCCGGAGATCGTGGACTTTGTCCAGAAGATTGTGGACAATGGTTACGGGTAAGCACAGGGCCCCCTAGGGCTGCAGAGCATTGCACAGGGAGGTTGCTCCCAGCTCTGAGTCTGAGTTTGGGAAGCAGGGAGTTGGTGTTCTGGGGTTGCCCCAAGAAGTAGGGGAGCAGGTGTTCCAGGGCCACCTAGCCAGAAGTCCCAGCAGACTTCCTCCTGCCACTCGGGGCCCCGCCCAGGGGCTGAGGAGCATGGGTCTGCCCTGCCCTGGGGGCCATGGTGAGAACCTAACCCAAAGTCTGCTGGGAAGTTTGGACGCTCAGACCATCGGTCCTTGGGCCGCAGAGCTGCATGGTGGTGAGTGTGCATGCGGCTAGGCCTTCACAGACATCAGCGCTGTGGCATGGACTGTTGAGAGTGCCAGACCTGGTGTCATAGCCCGAGGGAGGGTGCGTTTCATCAGCGTCTATTGCTTGGCTGTGATTCTAGTGACTTTTTGTCGGCGAGTCTATCACACACTTCCCTGGCTGTATTGTCTCAATCTCCAAAGTAAGCATTTTCAGAAATGGCCAACAAATGGGAATGCAGACAGGAACCTGGTTATCTGTCTGTCGCATTCAGCACTGTGCAGTGCCCTGCTCCCGGAGGCCCCCTCTGCAGGGCCCATCAGGGGTCCCTGTGTCCAGCCTCGGGTTGCTTCCCTCCCCACCTGAGTCAGGCAGGAGCCACACAGGCTGGATGAAAGAGAAACGAGAGGTTGTGGCAGTGCCAGGAGCAGTAACGCTGCTTCTCTCCCCACTGAACACGAACCACTGTGTGGCAGCAGAAGAGCATGTGTCAAGCCGAGAGGCACGGGCAAGCCTAAGCTCAGAGACGACAGCTCATTCCAGACTGGAGTCGTCTGGAGTGCTTCTTGGAAGCCGAGAGCCTCAGTTGGGCTAAGCTGCTGGGGTAGTGTGTGGCCGTTCAGGGACAGGCAAGGCATGCCACACAAGGATGAGGACTGCAGCAGCCCCGGAGCAAGGCAGGGTGGGAGCTGCATGGCCACAGGATCCAGGCAGAGGGGTGAGCCGCGAGGGCAATGGGATGGGCCCTTGTGTCCCACTCAGTCCAAACTAGCTGATGCAGTTTTCAGTGTCCACCACAGAGAGTAGACAGGCCACAGATTTCACGGTTTCTTAGCCCTGCTTTATTTTGCTGCTGGTATCCTGCTGAAATGCCTTTGGGTCTGTTAGATTCCCCCTGCTCGATTCCTTTTCTGTTTTCCAGCTATGTCTCCAATGGGTCATCCTGCTGAAATGCCTTTGGGTCTGTTAGACTCCCCCTGCTCGATTCCTTTTCTGTTTTCCAGCTATGTCTCCAATGGGTCATCCTGCTGAAATGCTTTTGGGTCTGTTAGACCCTACTCAATTCCTTTTTTGTTTTCCAGCTATGTCTCCAATGGGTCTGTCTACTTTGATACAGTGAAGTTCGCTTCTAGCGAGAAGCATTCCTATGGGAAGCTGGTGCCCGAGGCCGTTGGAGATCAGAAAGCGCTTCAGGAAGGGGAAGGTGAGGAGGCAGGCCTGAGAGCGCTGTGGGCTCCCCGTCCTGGCACAGCCCGGGTGGTGTTCACCCTGCGTGGCTGCGGCGCGTGCTCTGAGGAGCTCACCCCTCAGACTCTTGGGAACGGTGCTTTTTCACCTGAAGGAATTTTAGGAGTTTTCTACACTAAGACCATGAAATGTCTTATTGATACATGATAATTGCGCAGTTTATGCTGTACACGTGATGTTTTAGTACATGCACACAGTGTGTAATGATCTGGGTAATTAGGGTGCTCATCACCTTAGACATTTATCTTTTCTTTGCATTGGGAATGTTCCATATCTTCTAGCTACTTTGAAATACACAACAGAGTTCTTTGGTAGCTGTAGTCGCCCGACTGTGCTATTGAACGCAGGAACTTACTTGTTCTGTCTGTGTGTTCGTGCCTAGAAACCAGCCTCTCTTCACTCCCTCCCCTGACCGTCTGACCCTTCTCTGGTGGCCACTGTTCTCTTTTCCTTCTTGAGGTCCACCATTTTTTAGCCCCCACATTAAGAGGGAGGCGTATGATGCTTGTCTTTTTCTGCCTGGCTTATTTTGCTTAATAGAAAGTCTTCCAGTTCCATCCACATTACTGTAAAAGACAGGATTTCATTTTTTTGTGGTGTGTTATTTTTTAAGAAACAAAAGACATAGGCCGGGCGCGGTGGCTCAAGCCTGTAATCCCAGCACTTTGGGAGGCCGAGGCGGGTGGATCACGAGGTCAAGAGATCGAGACCATCCTGGTCAACATGGTGAAACCCTGTCTCTACTAAAAATACAAAAAATTAGCTGGGCATGGTGGTGCGTGCCTGTAATCCCAGCCACTCAGGAGGCTGAGGCAGGAGAATTGCCTGAACCCAGGAGGCGGAGGTTGCGGTGGGCCGAGATCGCGCCATTGCACTCCAGCCTGGGTAACAAGAGCGAAGCTCCGTCTCAAAAACAAAAACAAACAAAAAAAAAGAAACAAAAGACAGTAAACACAGTGCTGTCTTGAGAAGCACAGCGGCCGTGGGGCCTGGCTTCGCAGGGCTGGTGTTTGCTGGCTGAGCACGTGAGGTTTACGGTAGACTGTGGAATGCTGGGGTGTGTGCTGAGTGACGCACATTTGACAACAGCCTCCGTGCCCATCTGGATCCAAATGCCCCAAACACGTATCGGGCTTTTTCTAGACCAGGCAGAATTATATTTGGGACCCTTTCACTGGCATTTTCTTCATGTTTATTCTTTAAGTGAGTCTGGGGACACATCCAGAAGAGCCAGGGTTGGAAGCCTCCCTGCAGAGTGGAGTCCCCAGTGTGCCAGGGCACATTCTGCGCCCCACCGCCTGCCCTAGCGTTTCTGGAAGACAGTTTGGCTATAAAACTGTTCATACTTCTTTATCTAGTAATTTTAGGTCTCTATTCTAAAGAAATGTTTGAACCTAAAATAAAACAAGACAGGCCAGGTGCGGTGACTCACGCCTGTAATCCCAGCACTTTGGGAGGCCGAGGTGGGTGGATCACCTGAGGTTGAGAGTTCGAGTCCAGGCTGACCAACATGGAGAAACCCCGTCTCCACTAAAAAATACAAAAATCAGCCGGGTGTGGTGGCACACACTTGTAATCCCAGCTACTCAGGAGGCTGAGGCATGAGAATCACTTGAACCTAGGAGGCAGAGATTACAGTGAGCCAAGCTTGCGCCACAGCACTCCAGCCTGGACGACAGAGCGAGACTCTGTCTCAGAAAATAATAAAATAAAATAAAAACAAGACAACACAGACTGAAAAAAGATAGACTAAGCCAGGTTAACAGCATAAATATCACACCCATGGCACTGCAGGCTTCAGGTTTGTGGGAGTACAGGGGCAGATTTGTGACGATACAGTGCCTCAGCCCTGAAAGGACCCAGCCAGGGCCTCTGTGGCCCGGAAGCCTCCAGTAAACATCAATTTTTTTTTCTTTTTTCGAGACAGAGCATAATCTTGGCTTACTGCAACCGCCACCTCTCGGGCTCAAGCAATTCTCCTGCCTCAGCCTCCCGAAGTGCTGGGACCACAGGTGCGAGCCACCACGCATGGCCATCAATTTTTGTATCAACTCTAAATTATAACATTTAGCAATGTGGTGATTTTTTATGGTCATCATTAACGTTGTTTACGTTTTAGTTGTAATCCTGTCATTACCCACTTAGGAATGGTAATTTGGTCTTTTTCAAAATGAAGTTAAAGTCTTTGATCTTCTCTGAATCATAAGGACTGCTAACAGCCATTTCAGCAATAACTATTTACTGATATTTTAAAATATTTCAAGGTAACTGATCCTAGCAGACTGGAAAATACCAACTCTAGAACACTAGGACTAGAGTGGACATCCCTGCATTTCACACACTTCCCAGGAGCTGATAGATCAAGCAGGCAGAGAATAATAAGGATATGAAATGTTTGAAATACAATTAACAGGCTTGGTTTGAGAGCTGGGAACTTTGCACTCAGGAATTAAAGAACATCCTTTACTTCCAGAAACACAGAACCGTACACCAGGCCACAGAAAGAGATCTCCACAAATCCCAAAGAACCATTTACAAGGAGACCTCATTCTCTGACCACGGAGCAACTGTATTAGATAACAACACTTGGCCAGACGTGGTGACGCACACCTGTAATCCCAGCACTTTAGGAGGCCGAGGCAGGAAAGTCACTTGAGTCCAGGAGTTGAAGACCAGCCTGGGCAACATTGGGAGACCCCTCCTTTCTACAAAAATTTAAAAATTGGCTGGGTGTGGTGGCATGTGCCTATAGTCCCAGCTACTTGAGGCCGAGGGAGGAGGATCACTTGAGCCCAGGAGGTCGAGGCTGCAGTGAACCCTGATGTGAAGTGGTACTCCAGCCTGGGCAACAGAGCAAGACTGTGTCTCAAAAAAATTAAAACAATTTTTTTTTAAATAAAAAAGATACCAACACTGACAGGACATCTAAAGTGTACAAACCTGCCGGGGAAGTTGAAGTCATGCTCCTGGATAATTCCTAGGAAAGAAAACCACAGAGGGAAGTCAGGGGTATTTAAGCCAAACAGTAGCAAAAGTGCCACCCACCAAATCTGGAGAATGCCCTCAAGCACCGATTAGAGGAAACTGATGTTTTTAAATATAGTTAGTAAAAGATTGAAAATAAGTGAGTTGCCGGGCACAGTGACTCATGCCTGTAATCCCAGCACTTTGGGAGGCCAGGGTGGGCGGATCACGAGGTCAGGAGTTCCAGACCAGCCTGGCCAACATGGTGAGACCCCGTCTCTACTAAAAATACAAAAATTAGCCAGGTGTGGTGGCATGTGCCTTTAGTCTTAGCTACTCGGGGGACTGAGGCAGAAGAATCTCTTGAACCCGGCAGGCAGAGGTTACAGTGAGCTGAGATTGCTCCACTGCATTCCAGCCTGGCCAACGGTGAAACTCCATCTCAAAAAAAAAAAAAAAAAGAAAGGAAGTGAGCTAAGCAGTCGGTCAAAAGTCAGGAAAAGAACAAGAAGCAGTGGAAAGAAATAGGAGGAAATCAAAGTAAAATCAGAGATTAAAGAAACAGAAATAATTGTAAAAGCCAAAAGCTGGTTCTTCATAAAAAGTAACAGAAAAACCTTTAACAAGTTTGGTTAATAAAAATAGAAGATTCAAAAATATGTGAGGGCTGGGGCACCATAGCTCATGCCTGTAATTCAGCACTTTGGGAAGCCGAAGCAGGAGGATCGCTTGAGACCAGGAATTCGAGACCAGCATGGGCCACATAGTGAGACCCCATCTCTACACAAATTTTAAAAATTAGCTGAGTGTGGTAGCGTGCACCTGTAGTGCCAGGTACTCAGGAGACTGAGGTGAGAGGACTGCTTGAGCCAGGGAGGTCGAGGCTGCAGTGTGCTATGATTGCACCATTGCACTCCAGCCTGGGTGCAGAGCGAGATCCTATGTGTATATATGTCTGTCTGAATAACAAGACAAAAACTGAATGTAACCGTGGGTATAGTAGAGCGTTTCTTAAAGTCCTTAGAGGAAAGCGTGAAGAACTCGCACTGCGTTAGACGCCCAGATGCCAGGAGGAAACCAGCAGTGCGTGGGAAAGGTGGGACTGGGAGGGCCCAAGGGACTGCTGAGTGTAGCAGCACCCACAAGGTCACACAGCGAAGAACTGTTCTGGAGGCAGCTGGAGCACGCGAACCCACTGCTTTATGATGAATTTTGCTATTGGTTCTTTTTCCTTTCTTTTTTGAGACAGCGTTTCACTCTTGCTGCCCAGGCTGGTGTGCAGTGGCGTGATCTTGGCTCACTGCAACCTCTGCCTCCGGGGTTCAAGCGATTCTCCTGCCTCTATATTTAGTACATATTTTGTGATCACGAAGTTGGTGTTTTAAAAGAATGTGATACTAGGCGGAGCGCAGTGGCTCACGCCTATAATCCCAGCACTTTGGGAGGCCGAGGCGGGCGGATCATGAGGTCAGGAGTTCAAGACCAGCCTGGCTAACAGAGTGAAATCCCATCTCTACTAAAAATGCAAAAACTAGCCGGGTGTGGTGGCACGCACCTGTAGTCCCAACTACTAGGAAGGCTGAGGCAGGAGACTTGCTTGAACCGAGGAGGCAGAGGTTGCAGTGAGCTGAGACCACGCCATTGCACTCCAGCCTGGGTGACAGAGTGAGACTCCATCTCAGTATATATCAGTGCTTTTCCTGTTGACTCTGTTTCTCAGGGCAGCTTAGGTCTGTTGCCTGAAAAGTATATTGTTACCTGGAAAGATCTCACTGCAGCCTCTTAAAGGTCACCTGAGTTAGGACCCTAGATGGAGTCTGCTCTTCCTCCACAAGGGGGTGACAGCACCCAGGGCAACCCTTAGACCAGGGACCAGGAAAGGCTGCAGCAGCAGCGGGGCAAGACCTGGCATGGGTCCTGGCAACCTTGCGCCCAGAAGGCCTCTGCTCTGCCCATTCATGGAACAAAGGGGATTCTCTATGTGACCTTTGGACTAACTCACAGGTTTCTGAATTCACAGCAGCTAATCTTTCCATTGGTCCTGCATGTATCGTTTAGAGAAATTTGCAGTGATGATGCATTCCTTTTCTGGGGACCCAGACCTTGAGTGTCAGGTGGCTGAGTGTCACCAGGTTGATGCATGGAATTCACCAAGCGGTTATTTCTCATCCCTCAGCAAGACATAGATGGTCAGGTCCTTGTTGGCTAGGTGATCATTGGCTTTGTCCAGGAAGCAGAACTTGTGCCAAGAGCAGTGTTCCCCTTTGCTCATGCCCTTACTGGACTATTCTTTAGCTTCCTTCACCCTTTTTCCCCTTACAGACACACAGGAGCAGCAAATGTCCCCTTTACCACCACACTTCCCTGGAGGAGTACACAGTAGCTTAGCTGTGTCCTGGTATCCCCTGGAGCCCATAAACAAATAGTTGTGTGGCCCTTGACATACTGGTCTCACCTGCATGAACCAGGCAGGATCCCTGAGCCATGCCCCAGTGGGCCACACCCCTATGTCACCTCCTCATGAGTGCTCTCACTCATCCTAGACACTGGTGGGCGAATGTCTTACGGAGACCCCAGCTGCGGCTTCAGGTCAGCCAGGTCTGCTTAGACACTGGTGTGTAAGCCGGTGACTCTGGGGCTTATGAACAGTTTTGTAAATCTGGACACTGGGGCGACACCAGAATCTGGTCGTACATAGGAAACTTGAAGAAGTGCTTGAGGCAAGTTAATAAACAGAAGTTAGTCAGAAGGACTGGCCATTAGGCACCCAGGATGGCCTTGAAGTGAGACGCGTGGGTCTGTGGGTGCTGCTGAGTGACCCTGCCCGGCTTCCCTCATGTTTGCAGGTGACCTGAGCATCTCTGCAGACCGCCTGAGTGAGAAGCGCTCTCCCAATGACTTTGCCCTGTGGAAGGCCTCTAAGCCCGGAGAACCATCGTGGCCATGCCCTTGGGGAAAGGTGAGTGAGTGTCCTAGAAGGTGTTGGGCTTGGGCAGGGGCACTGACACCAGCCCCGCTCTCAGGCACCCAGCCGAGGCTGCTCTGTGTGTGAAGGATGTTGTCACGGGGCCAGAGCCTGGTGCTGCTACAGCACAGACTGCCTGGCCCCAGGGCCCTGGACATCATGGAGATTCCCTGAGCCTCTAGACAAGTCACTTCTCTCTTCTTTCTGTTTTCTGGTCTGTTAGTGAAGACATGATCAGATTAGGCAACCATGCAGGCTGCTTGGTTCTTGTGTTCTATGACTCTGAGTTGAGTATTCCAGGCCCCAGGGTGTAGGATGCTTCCTGGTATCCCTGGTGACAACAGTCTTGACTTCAGGGTACCCCAGGAAGGGCCGTGACCATCTGCAGCTGTCAAGGGCTCAGAGGTCTGGACGTAATTCGCAGACTCCACCTAAGCCTCAGCCCAGACCGGACTGGTTTATGAACTTCACCAAAGAAGGCTACCCTTAGTCTTTTTGTGTGTGGGAATTAATACTTGCTCCAATAAAGGTCAGAGGGTTTAAGGCTGTCAGTTTGGGGTGATAAGGGCCTGGACCACGGCTGGGCTGGTCAGTCACTGTGTGTTCGGCTTTATCCAGGGTCGTCCAGGCTGGCATATCGAGTGCTCGGCCATGGCAGGCACCCTCCTAGGGGCTTCGATGGACATTCATGGAGGTGGGTTCGACCTCCGGTTCCCTCACCATGACAACGAGCTGGCGCAGTCGGAGGTAGGCGAAGACAGGGTCCCCTTCTCGGATGCGAGAGCACGCTGTTCTCACTGCAGTGGAGGAAAAGTCAGCCTGGGCCTCAGGACGGCCTCTCTCACTAGAACTGACACGTTCATCAGAGCTTGTGGGTGGAATCTGAACCTGATCATTTAGTCTAGTTTCCCACATTGACAGCCTGGCCTTCAGCAACAGAATGGCCTGGATTTGAACCAGTTGTTACCCGCTAGCTTATTAACATGGGCTGTCCTGCTAAGCCTCGCTTTCGCCAGCTTGAAAATGCGGCACCTGCCTATGGACAGCGCCAGCAAGGCAGCAGACGGTGCAGGTGGCGGGAGGCCCCAATAGCACGTGACTGTTGACATCCTTCATCCCTTTCCACACAGGCCTACTTTGAAAACGACTGCTGGGTCAGGTACTTTCTGCACACAGGCCACCTGACCATCGCAGGCTGCAAAATGTCCAAGTCACTAAAAAACTTCATCACCATTAAAGATGCCTTGAAAAAGCATTCAGGTATACACTGAGCTCTCCCGCAGACCCCACCCTGCTTCTCACAGATGCGTAATGGCTGTAGCACTCGGGAGAATAAGGGCATCGCTGTCTTGTGTCCCCCTGCAGCACGGCAGTTGCGGCTGGCCTTCCTCATGCACTCCTGGAAGGACACCCTGGACTACTCCAGCAACACCATGGAGTCAGCGCTTCAGTATGAGAAGTTCTTGAACGTGAGTCCCTAGCCCCTTCCTAGAGGTTGGTGGAGCGGCCTCCCCTGCACGGCAGGCACCATGTGGAGTGGTGATGGGTACAGCAGCCTCCCTGTCCTGTGATGGAGGCCAGCACATGGGGTGAAAGCACTTCGACGCTAGTGGGGAAGACAAGACTCGGGGCCACCCCCGAAATGCCCGACGGCTCAGCAGAGCGGACGGAGGCCTCGTCCTCCCAGTTACTGTAGTGCACGTCCTTCTGACTTGTACTTTCCCTCAAATGAGCATCTCTAAAGCTAAGGCAGGAACGTGTTTCTGTCACAGAAATCCCTCTCCCTTTGTTTCTGACCACTTACGTAATGCCAGTGCATTCCAGCCTTTCCCATTTTGACCAAAAGTAAAATCACAGCAGTAGAACAGTTGATCAGATATTTCAGGATGGAAAGGTTGCCGACATGCTGTTAAACTGATTTTTCCAACTTTAGGAGTTTTTCCTAAATGTGAAAGACATCCTTCGAGCTCCTGTTGATGTCACTGGTCAGTTTGAAAAGTGGGGAGAAGAAGAAGCAGAACTGAATAAGAAGTAAGGTGGTGCCTTTTCTCTGGGGTTTTCGAGCATGCCCGCGTTCTGTGCCTAGCCATGCATCGTGGCCACCACGTGTCCTGGACTGCCGAGGAAGGGTGGGGGACACTAGCTGTACGTTGTGTGGAGCTCATTCGGGATAGGTGGCTCCGCTAATGGGATCTGCCCTGCTGTTGAAGTGCATGGGGAATTTCTGTGATGTGTCATCAGGGATGACCTCTCATTCCTTCCTCTTCGTTGCTCAGCTTTTATGACAAGAAGACTGAAATTCACAAAGCCCTCTGTGACAACGTTGACACCCGCACGGTCATGGAAGAGATGCGGGCCTTGGTCAGTCAGTGCAACCTCTATATGGCAGCCCAGAAAGCTGTGAGGAGAAGGCCCAGCCGGGCTCTGCTGGAGAACATCGCCCTGTACCTCACCCATATGCTGAAGGTAAGCCAGGCCCCAGGCAGGCATGTCTCCGAAAGCCGAGCACAGTGGCGCACGCCAGGTGAGGGTATCACTTGAGCCCAGGACACAGTGAGGCATGATTGCTGCACTACGGCGCTCCACCATGGGCATGGAGGGAAGACCCTGTCTCAAAAGCAAACAAAAAGAAGTAATACCCATATAGTTGTCCCTTACTCAGAGCTAGTTTGTCTTTGGCCTCGGTTTCCCTCTACTCCCATCTTGGAGTTTGAAAAGCAAAACCAGGGACAAGCCCTCTTCTCTGAACACGTCCTGTACAGAGCCCTTCCCTGCCGTGCACCTTGAAAGGCCAGCAGTGCCTGGATTCACTCAGCTCCCCACCTCCTCCTTCCTTGTTGTCGGGCTCCAGTGGCTTCTGGCTGAAACAGAGTTGGAGCCGGCAGCTCTGAGTCGGGGCCATCCTGGTGCAGTGAGGGGACCCCCAGGCTCAGGTTTCTGGAGCTCCTGGAGCTGCTGCTTCCGTCTCTTTCCGGGTCTTGGGGCACCCCTCTCGTGAATGAGGAACACAGCTCGTGGCTGCTCGCCACATGCCTCCTTCATCTTGCACAGCTTCCGTCCCATCTGTGTCTTTTCCTAGATCTTTGGGGCCATAGAAGAGGAGAGCTCCCTGGGATTCCCAGTCGGAGGGCCTGGAACCAGCCTCAGTGTGAGTAGCGCGCGTGGTCCTGCCTTCTGCACCTGCTGCCTTCTCACTCCCTCCCTCCTCCATGTGCCTCTGGAACGGCCCCTCCTCTATCTACCCACCCATGTCAGACCCTTCCAGACAGAGCCTTGGGCCGAATGGCAGATCTGGCTCTGAGTGCTAAGTGTGGTTCGCTGCCCTCCCAGTGTGGAGGGTCTGCCTCGGTTATGACTGTTGGTTTGGGGCACTTTGCCATGGTGCCATCCCATGAGCTCAATCTTGGACCCCAGCTAGACAGGCTGCTGCTTATTCGCATTTTGCTGCGGCATCATGAACTCTCGCATGACTTTGTCACATAAAGTGACCTGTACTCCGTAAACACTTCATCAAAAGGCTACGGAGTTCACAAATAGTGCAGAGTTTACACTGATGGGGAGATAGCCACTGTCTGCCTCAGTCTCCATGGGACCAGGCCCAGCCCTGACCCTGAGCCCAGGTCGGTCCAATGGCCTGAGGCAGAACCCCCCACCTGAGAGCTGTGGCCCACAGGTCAGGGGGTGGGCATGATGTAAAGCCCCCTGTCTAGTGGGTCTGTGTGGCGAGGAAATCCATCCAGAACACTCTGGCTGTCCGTCGCTGGCTTCCATTTGCAGTTGGCATATGAGCAGACACACATGGTCAGTCATGTCCCTCTGCTGCGGAACCTCTGTCCCCTGTGACATGCCCACAGTCAGGCTTCTTAAAGACAGACTTCCACCCCTCCCAGGTCAGGAATGCTCTTTAACTATTTGATTAGAATGCATATCTAAACATTTAAATATATCAGCTGTAATTTTAATTAAAACAGGAGCTTAGTACAAAGTACAAATACGAAACCTTTTTAAAATCCTGTTTCCTAATGACAAGTGGTGTGAAGAGCCCCATGCAGATGGAGCTTACAGATGGTCCCCCAGGAACCGGCTTGCAAAGAGAAAACAGTCCATGTTGTAAGGAGTCCCGCCAGAGCGCCCAGCCCACGTGCCTTGCCTTTTGCCAGCCTTAGCACTAGCTACCTGTTGCTGTGGTATTTTTGAGACTTCTGATATGAATCTCCTTTGGTGCTTTTAAGAAAACCCACACAGCTTCTTTGTTCTCTTGTGCACATGATACTAAGATATTTATTTTCTTTAAAAACAAAAAACACACCTCTTGGGTTAAAGAGAGCCTGCCTTTGTACTGCAGTGTTTTTCATCTTAACGGCTGCTGCGGTTGTTGAGGGGGGGTTGCCTTCCGCGTGCTGTGGACACGCATCCCCCAAGCAGCCTCATTTGGTCTTTGCAGTCGGCTGGGTGGGAAAAAGCAGCCGCAGTGAGTAGTGAGCCTGCTGGCAAAACGTCCTGTGCCCATACATCATGTCCATTTGACATACGTGGGTTAACTTCCAAATCCAAGTTGTCTTAGCAGACGAGGCAGCTCCTACATCCTGCACCACCTCAGTGTCACCACGCGGCCACCTGCTAGCATGCTCAAGTGGGGGTTGCAGCCCCAGGCGTCCTGGAGACAGACCCCTGCAGCCGTCCCCGAGAGTCTCCCTCCAGTCAGTGCCCCTGGGGCTGGGGCTGAGGCTGGCTATGGGTGAATGCCTTCTTTTCTGCCCTGCCCCGAGGCTTGTCTGGGCTGGCTGTGTGGTGGGTGGAGATACAGATCTAAAACCCCCAAGAAGTCCAAAGTTCAGGTGCAGGATCGGGTTTCAGGGGGCTTGGCTTAGACTCGAGGGCTCATTAGTCTGCCCACTTTCGCATGTGCTACTTTTTATTTTTGTTTTTGTTTTTGAGACAGAGTCTCACTCTGTCACCCAGGCTGGAGTGCAGTGGCGCGATCTCTGTTCACTGCAATCTCCACCTCCTGGGTTCACGCAGTTCTCCTGTCTCAGTCTCCTGAGTAGCTGGGATTACAGGCATGCACTACCATGCCTGGCTAAGTTTTTTTTTTTTTGGTATTTTAGTAGAGACAGGGTTTCACAGTGTTGGCCAGACTGGTCTCGAGCCCCTGATCTTGTGATCGATCCACCCGCCTCTGCCTCCCAAAGTGCTGGGATTACAGTCGTGAGCCACACACCTGGCCAGCGCTTGCTAATGTTTTTATTTTGGTTATTGAGCTGCTGAATCAGCTAATGGGCAGGGCGCAACCTTGCTCAAAAGCCTTAAAACTTTTCTGTCCTATTAAAACAGAGAAATGTAGTATAGAGGTTTTTCCGTTCTGTGGCTGCCTCCCCAGTGCTGCTGTGGGTGGTGAATCTTAGCGTAGCTGCCAACGTGCGCGTAGATAGTAGGTACATAATGGAGATCGTTCATCTTAAACAAGTGTGTGTGTGACCACAGCTCAGACAAAAGCACAGCCTGGGAGCCGCCAGCTTCAGAACAGGTAGGGCCCCAGCCTGGGGAATGATGTCCTTGGGCCGCTTAGGAAACAGTCCCTCCCAGAGATGGCCCCTCCGAAACCAGAAGGACAAGCTGTTTAACAGCAGTGTGTCAGACTTGAGAAAAGCAGGGCATGTCAGCACCTGGGCAGAGCGGCTGCAGGGCCCACCTGCCGATAGAAAGGAAGCTTACTTCGTGCTCTCTGGCCTGAGAGTCCGTGTGACTGGCACGCCTAGCAGGGACCTCGTGTTGGGCACGAGAGCGTCCCGGCTCCAGGATGCTGTCACAGCTGTAGTGTGCACAGCAGCACTGCCCATGCCATTCCCTGCTTTGTGGTGTGGCCGCTGAGCAAATATTCACTTATGAATATAGGAGGGTGAGTGACTCTCAGCGAACCAAAACTGTTCTTTCCACAGCTCGAGTCCACAGTTATGCCCTACCTTCAGGTGTTATCGGAATTCCGAGAAGGAGTGCGGAAGATTGCCCGAGAGCAAAAAGGTGAGGACCAGTTGCTGCAAAGAGTGTGGGAGCCGCTGCCCTCACTGGGCTCCCTGGACTCGGGTGTCTCCCCGAGGCACTGTGGTGTTGGGGCCGGGTCACCCTCTGTGAAGGCCGCCCTGTGCACCATGGGGTGTTGGAATAGCATCCGCGCCTGGACTCCCCAGATGCATCAGCACCACACACCCCAGTCACCGCAGCCACGGAAGTCCCTGCAGGGTACACTCCTCCGTGAGAGCAGCTGGCTGGGGGCTGGGGACCAAGGATGTGATGTGATGGGCCAGGGCTGATTTGCCTCTCCTCTGAGCAAGGCGGAATGCAGGGCCCTCTGACCAGCGCAGCTACCGCCTGCCCTCTGGCTCACGCTGGGGCTTAGTTCTGCTCCTGGTGACCTGGTAGGCTGGGTGCGCTGACGTGTGGCTCGTTCCTGCTGCAGAGTGGAGCCGAGCTGGAGCTTCCAGGGTTTCTTTTTCTGCTCAGGCATGGCAGATGAATGCTTGAACTTGGGTTCACCCAGGGTCCCTTCACTGTCCGTAAGCAGCCATTCCTTCATCTTTTGACATTTCTGAGAAGTGTGTGGTTTAAGACGTAGAAAGTCCTGGATCCGAGCATTCATTTTGAGGGTCAGTTTTTAAGAAGTGATGCCGGGCGCGGTGGCTCAAGCCTGTAATCCCAGCACTTTGGGAGGCCGAGGCGGGTGGATCATGAGGTCAAGAGATCGAGACCATCCTGGTCAACATGGTGAAACCCCGTCTCTACTAAAAATACAAAAAATTAGCTGGGCCTGGTGGCGCATGCCTGTAATCACAGCTCCTCAGGAGGCTGAGGCAGGAGAATTGCCTGAACCCAGGAGGCGGAGGTTGTGGTGAGCCGAGATCGCGCCATTGCACTCCAGCCTGGGTAACGTGAGTGAAACTCCATCTCAAAAAAAAAAAAAAAAAAAAAAAAGAAGTGTTAAACACAGCAGCAAGTGCCAGGCAGGCCTTTGCTTCTCACTCTGAGTGGTTGTGAATTGGTGAGTAACAGCACAGCTGGGAACACACACTGAGGATTTAGGGTGTGCTGGGCCCTGCCCACTGCGTTCTGCACATGGCCCCATTTACCCCCTGATGCTCCAGAAGAGGAAGGCAGAGTCCCGGCCGGCCACACTGACCTCCAGTGCTACCCCGTCACCTGCTGCGCTGTGTTCCCTCTCCAGGGGTCTCTGTGTGGTGGGAAGTCGGACCTGGGATCCACCTGGCTCCCATCTGTGCAGAGCCCATTGTGGCGGGTCATGGCGGGGCAGCATCCAGGCAGGGCATGCTGAAGATAGTGTGGATGGAGACCCAGCCAAGCCTCTAGGAGAAGCTGCACCTCGAAGCATCAGGAGACCTGGGTGGGTGGAGGGACTGAGAGGCAGAGGAGCCGAATCTGGGCCTGCTTCAGACAGCGGAGCAGGAGGCAGGAGGGCAGGCAAGAGCTCCAGGAGCTCAGGTCTCCACAGGCTGCAGGACAGAGTGCGGGACACTGGATGAGAGGAGAGGCTGGCCGGGCTGCCACACATGCTCTGTGGAGAGGGGCCTGGGCCTGACCGAGCCCCTGACTGGCAGCGGTGGGCGCACTTGACCTGATCGGTTAAGCACCGTCATTTCTCTCCAACACCTGGCACCCCTCAGCGTTTCAAAGCACTTGAACCAAACTGAACCCAGCCCAGACCAGCCTGTTCAGGACCGCGCAGGGCTCTCCAGCAGCCTCAGCAGCACTGACTTAGCAACATCGCTGGGGTCACGGGCTTGGGAAGACCATTCCTGGAGGCAGCCTGGGCATTTCACCTGCCTGTCTGGGGGACGTTGAAGTCCGAGCTGAGCAGCTGGCACAGGTGTCCTTGTGCGTGGACCCCCTGCCCTCACCCCAGGCACTACATTTTCCTTTGCTGGGTGCTGTAGTGGCTCCAAGGCTTCTTCCTCAGCTCCTCAAAATCCACACCCAGAGGACAGTGTGAGCCTGAGGGTGGGGCATGTGTCCCTTTCCCCCAGGCAGTGTGGCCCAGGAGGCTTCTTGGTGCCTGCTCTGATGATCAGCCATGGCAGGTGGGCTGGGGTGCTGGCCTTGTGGCCTCCCAGGACATCCGTGACAGTGACCATGGGTGCTGGCTTGCCTTCCTTCTAATGAGGGTGCTGTCCAGGGGTGGCTTTCAAAGGCTGAAGGGCAGGCACCTACCTCAGCTCATGCCCCAGTCAGCCTCTCCTCGGGTGGCTGAGGAGGGCTCATTCCCAGGAATGATACCTCGGACAAATATAAAAGGCCATTGTTCCCCAAGGTCCCTGCTTAGGGAGGTTGAAACTCAGGAAGCTGCCCAGGATGGCTGTGCTAGTGGGCGGGGCCTTGAAGTCCCCAGGTACGTTTTTTTGTTTGTGTTTGAGACTGAGTCACTTTGTTGCCAGGCTGGAGTGCAGTGGCACCATCTCGGCTCACTGCAACCTCCGACTCCCTGGTTCAAGCATTTCTGCTGCCTCAGCCTCCGGAGTAGTTGGGATTACAGGCATGCGCCACCACGCCCAGCTAATTTTTTTTAATTTTTAGTAGAGACAGGGTTTCACCATGTTGGCCAGGATGGTCTCGATCTCCTGACCTAGTGACCTGCCTGCCTCGGCCTCCCAAAGTGCTGGGATTACAGGCGTGAGCCACTGCGCCCTGCCAGATATGTGAAAATTTTATCCAGCAGTGAATGAAGGTGTTGGGTACCCAGCGGGAGCTGTAGCGGTCTCCGTTACGGGACACAGCAGGAAAAGGACAGATGAGAACGGCAGCATGCGTGTGGTCAGTGCTGCCGAAAGGCAGGGCAGGCAGGAGAACAGGGCGGGATGGCGGGGGTCCCAGCAGGCTGTGGGCAGGGCACAGGCACACCTAGCACAGTTGGGCGCAGCAAGCTGAGGGGCCAGAAGAAAGCGAAAGGGTGGTGATTCCAGCAAACCCAAGGTCAGACTTCGGAGCAGAATGTTGTGAATTTGGAGAGCCCAAGCACCCGTCCTGTGGATGTAGTCTGGGAGACGCTGTGCGCCACCTGGTGCTCTGGAGTCTCTCTGAGATAGGGCAGCATCCCATTTACCCCGTAACACCCAAAACTCCTTATGTCCTGTTCCCCACCTGGTCATGGTGCATGGGCTGGAGACGGGCAGAGCAGAGGCACAGAGGGGCCCTCCGGGAGCCTGTGTGAGGAGCCCCCCAGGATGCAGGGCAGGTCTGCAGTGCTGCACTCTGAAGCCAGTCAGCCACAGACATGTGGGTTTCCAAGCGAAGCTCTCTCCCCCATGTGACATGCCTCCCTTCACCCTCCCAGCTGGACTGGGTCTCCAGTCAGAGGCAGAGGGCGGCTCAGTCTTGGGAAGCAACCTCCAGCCTGCCCCCACCGCCTTTCCAGCTGCGTGCGCTTCAGCCTTGGAGGCCTGATTCTCACAGAGCTAGAGCTCCTAAGTGGTCCTGGGACACAGCTCTCCTGGGTCCTGACCAGGACCCTCATCCCAATCCTGTGTGCATTTGGGAACCGAGTCCTTAGGGACTTGAGTCTGAACGGTCCTTCCTTAAGAAAGCTGACCCTGGCAGCAACAGAGAGAGTCTGCCTCAGGTGAAGAGCGTTAGCACCCGGAGGGACCCCCAGGCCTGTCCTGAGCCTCTCACCCCCACTGCCTGCCCAAATGTGTCCCTTTCCTGGAAGAGCCGCTTCCAGCAGCCTGTGCTATGCTGCTTCCCGGCTCTGCCCTGCTGCCCCAGAACAGCACCTGGGGGGACACTGGTCTCTGGGCTTGTGCAGCCGATCCTGCTGCCGGCCCCTCCTTCGCAGGCACTGGAGGAGGCACGCGGTCTGTGGGCCACCATTCCTGACGGAACTGCTTTGCTTTCCCTGCAGTTCCTGAGGTTCTGCAGCTGAGCGATGCCCTGCGGGACGACATCCTGCCTGAGCTTGGGGTGCGGTTTGAAGACCACGAAGGTGGGTGAGCCCTTGCTGTTTGCTATGAAGTTACCAAGAGCTTAGAAAGGTGTCACCGGGAGATCTCCCGGGGCTGGGCCAAGGTTCATGCATCATGACTGGATGCAGAATCCCAAAGTGGCAGCCCCATGGGTCCCCCGGCACCATTCCCACGCTGGCAGTCCGGCAGGGGGCCGGGGCACACCCATAGCTCCTTCCCACTGCATCCCACCACTTTGTGTGTGGGCGTCATCTCCCCTCAGCGCCTGGCTGCCACCTCTGATGCTCTCAGCTAAGGAAACGTGCCTGTGTCCTGTAGACTGTCAACAAATTTCATGCTTGTCCTCCCACTTTGTGGAGGTTTTTTTGTTCCACAGAAAATTAATGTTTTTTATTTTCATTTTTTAAAATTTATTTATCGAGTATGTATTTATCGAGACGGAGTCTCATTCTGTCACCCAGGTTGGAGTGCAGTGGCGCAATCTCGGCTCCTTGCAACCTCTGCCTCCCGGGTTCAAGCGATTCTCCTTCCTCAGCCTCCCAAGTAGCTGAGACTGCAGGTGTGTGCCACCATGTGCGGCTGATTTTTGTAGTCGTAGTGGAGATGGGGTTTTACCGTGTTGGCTAGGCTGGTTTCAATCTTCTGACCTCAAGTGAGCCGCCCGCTTCGGCCTCCTGAAGTGGCATGAGCCCCCACGCCGGGGCTTGCTTTCAGCTTTTATGGATACATGGTAGTTGTACATATTTATGGCCTACGTGTGACATTTTGATACATGTATACGATATGTAATGATCAGATCTAGGTAATTGAGATGCTGTCACCTCAAGCAGTTAGTATTTGTGTTACGCGCCCTCCAATTCCACTCGTCTGGCTATTTTGAAATTTACACTAAATTATTCTTAATTATGGTGGCCCTGTTGTGCCACCCCGGACTGGATCCTAGTCCTGTGTCCACCTGTTTGGACCCATTAACCATCCCCTCTTTCTCTCCTCCCCACTACCCATCTGCCCCTGGTCATTTTACATCTCAGATGACATTTCTTACCTTCCGACTCCTGGCTGGGCAAGACCTTCCTACCTTCCAATTACAAAATGTTCTCGCCAGGTATGGTGGTTCACACCTGTTACCCTACCACTGAGGTGGGCGGATTGCCTGAGCTCAGGAGTTCGAGACCAGCCTAGGCAACATGGTGAAACCCCATCTCCATTAAAACATGAGCAGGTGTGGTGATGCGTGCCTGTAGTCCCAGCTACTCAGGAAGCTGAGGCACGAGAACTGCTTGAACCTGATAGGCAAAGGTCGCAGTGAGCCGAGACCACGCCACTACACGCGTGCGCGCACACACACACACACACACACACACCACACACACACACAACACACACAACACACACACAACACGCACACACACAACACACACCACACACACACACAACACACACAACACACACACAACACGCACACACACAACACACACACAACACACACACAACACACACACACACAACACACACACACACACACACACACACACACACACACACACACACAATATGTTCTCCTGTGCTGTGCTTCACTGCTGTTTGCTGTTGCGGGGGCACTCGCTCTGACCAGGCAGCACTGCATGGTCTGGGCAGGGCAGGGCTGGCCCAGCAGCAGAGACGGCCCACAGAGCAGAGTGCAGCCTGTTCTCACAGACTGCTCTCTTTTCAGGACTACCCACGGTGGTGAAGCTGGTAGACAGAAACACCTTGTTAAAAGAAAGAGAAGAAAAGAGACGGGTGAGTGAGATGCAGATGACTTCAGCTTGGTATTTGTTGAAAATATGAAAAACATTAGGGTTATTACATAGTTTACTTTTTAAGCACTGATGTTTACACTTTAATTAAAATCCCAGTATTTATAAATGTTAGAAAAATTAACTAGTATCTTCTAATGAAGGACCTCTTTTAAAAAGATCATTCCCTCAGCTTAAGTGAAAACGAGTCACTTTTAGCAAACTGTGCAGCTGACATGTCAGGTCCCAGTCTCACCTTGCCCTCACCTGGGTGGCGTGTGTCACTGGTGCGTGTCCACCTCCTGTTCCCAGCACACTCCCCACCTGCACCCACAACACTCCCGGGATCAGGGATGGTCCAGGTTCCTCGGTGCCCAACAGGAGAGAAGAACAAGAACAAAAACGCGTTGTCAGAACCTCTGGGCACAGCGTATGGGGCACCCTGCAATGCAGGCAGCAGGATGAGAGGCACCTGGGCACTCAATGCACTCCATGGGAGGTGGACCTAGGGGCTGTTGCCACCAGCAGGTGGGCCCAAGAGGCTGAAAGCAGGACACCACCGTGGAGGGCGAGTTTGGATGCCACAGCTCTCAGGAAGGAGGCTCTGGCAGGAACTGAGGAAGTAGCATCGATAGGGTGGGTGATTGACAGATGGGATGTGCGGGTTTGGGAAGGCATCTATGCCCAGCCCTGGACTGGCACCACCATGAGGCACAAGGCACGAGGGGAGGGCTGACGCCAGATGCAAGTGTGGGTGGCTGGAGTTTGCAGTGCCTGGGAGAAATAACAAAGTGGAACTCTGGGGAAAGCTCCAGACTGTGGTGAACGGTCTGCAGATCCATCCTGGCTGGCAGGTTGGGAGCAGCTGGGCTTGCCCTGCGAGGTTGGCTGCTGTGACCGCCCCATCAGGGCCCCTCCCCCTTCCACCACAGTCACTCACCTAGCCTTGGGTCTGGCCTGCCATGCTGTGCTGTGACGTGGCCTGGTGCTGGCTGTGCAGACGCCCTGGCATGCTGCACTCTGTGGCAGAGTGCTCAGAAGCAGGAGGCAGACGAGGAGCACCCTGCAGGGTGGCCCGGCCAGAGCCTCACAGGCCCCGCGCCCTTTGTGCTGGCCTTTCCACTGTCCACCTTGGCTGTGCCTTGTGACTTCTAGTAACTTCTGTTTCCCAACCAAGGGACTCTCATCTCACCAGACTGCCGCAAGAAGGCACCCCAGGCCCGAGGCACCATGGGGGAGGGGTCCTGCCTCTCCCTACGCCCTTCCCACCAGCACGTAAACACTTCCTAACTTTAAAAGGGAAAAAGCAGAAATTCTGAGCACTGCTTCTGTGGTTCCTCCAAGCTCAGCGGCCAGCTCCTTCTTCCCCTACCTGAGCACCCTTCCCCATCTCAGCCCCTTCCCCTTGGCCGGCCCTGCTCTCCCTCCATCTACCTCGAAAGAGCTCTTGATCCTGTTGGCCCAGCCCCATCCCGAGTCTCTGAGACCTTTGTGCCTTCCTGGTTTCTTTTCCCCAGCTCTGTGTGGAGCCTCTCCAGGAGACCTCATCTGGCCCTGCGGCTTCACCACCATCTGTCATGTATCTGGTGGACCAAAACCGTTGTCCCCAGCCGCCTGCCTGATAGCTCCACTGAGCCAGGAAGCATCTGAAGCCTAGGCTGTCCAAAGGAAATGTGGTTTTCAACTCCCCAAACTCGCTCCTCCTCCCTGTCAGTGGAAGGCATGTCTGTTCATGCAGTGGCTCACGCCAGAACTTCCCAGAGCAGCCGAGGCCTCCCCTCACCCGCACCCAGCCTGCTGGCTCCACAATCAAGCCCTTCCCTGCAGCATCAGGCCACCCTTGCCCCTGCCCGGATGCTGCCTGCTGGTTGGAGTGGACTCTGGTCTCCTCACCTAGCCCCCAAGGCTGGCCTCTGCCCGCCTCTTCCCATCCTGCCCTGGGGCCCTTGCTGCTTCCCAGGCACCCCAAGACCCGCTCAGGGTAACCTTCACAGTGCTGTCCTGGTCATCACCTGACGGAGCCTCTGGTCTTGGGCCAGGCTCACCATGCTGGTCCATTTCTTCACGTTAGTTGTGCTGGGATCTTTCAGCATTGGTCCTGTTTGTCTGCCTGCTGTATACCTTTGCATCTAGAGCAGGGCCGGGCACCCAGGGGTACCGCTGAGGATCCCCATGGGAATGGACGAAGGTTGGTGTACTGCCCAGCTCACGGGCTTGTCTCCCCACAGTGGGGTGGTCCGGTCATTGTTCAGTCCTCCTGGCCAGGCCCTAGGAAAGGGGCTGGTTTTGCTGGACCTCCCACTCCGGGAGACCTGGCAGCCTCAGGCAGCTCTGTCTCACCAGGCTCTGTGCTGCTTCTCTAGGTTGAAGAGGAGAAGAGGAAGAAGAAAGAGGAGGCGGCCCGGAGGAAACAGGAACAAGAAGTAATGCACTTTGTTTGTTTGGGGGTGAGGGCTCTCCTGGGCAGGAGTGCACCCTGACCCCGTGCCCCGTGGCTCTCTGTGCCTCCGAGGACCTCAGCCAGGCCCCTGCACACCTTCACAGACCCTCACAGAAGGAGCTCCGCCCTCTGCCTCCACCACTCGAGGCCTGCCAGGCCCTTCTCACATGAGTCGCAGGAAGACCTGGCCAGGGGAAAGGTGGTGCCATTTGGTCACAAGCTCTAAGACCGCGTTTATAGACTTACTCCTGTTAGAGTTTTTAGCCGGCTTTCCACTGCTCCTTTTCTGTTCCCTCCACCTTGGCCCTCCCCTTCCCTGTCTTTCACAGCACGCTGAATTTGAGGGCGTGGAAGCAAGTTGAGGGCTGGAGGTGTGAGCAGATGCTGGTCACAGTGCAGAGCCCCAGGTGCCGCTCAGTGGCAGTGACTGTGCTGTGTTGTGTGTTCTAGGCGGCAAAGCTGGCCAAGATGAAGATTCCCCCCAGTGAGATGTTCTTGTCAGAAACCGACAAATACTCCAAGTTTGATGAAAATGTAAGCATTCCTTCTTTTCTTTTCAGAACTTTATTAGACCACATTAAATTGGGAGGACAGGGATTTTCAACCTTGGACAAGCAGATTTTCTGTTTGTAGAAAATTTGGAATCAAATCTGACACCTGCTTTAGGATCCAGGGCCTCCTGGCCCAACTACTGAGCTCCTCCCACAGCCCAGCAGCTAGGCAAGCCCGTGCCAGGGCAGCCCTCCACTGCTGTGGCGAGCTCTGCTCCCTAGCACGGGGAGTTGTGGCCCAGGCCGAGGTCCACCCAGGCCCTCGAAAGCGGGCTGCCGTGGCGCAGATAGGTGTCCTGCCCCCAGACTCTTAGTCATAGCCATTCACAGCCACTGCCTCCAAACCTCTAGGCCCCTCCCTGCTGGCCCTTGGATGTGTTTGCTATGTACATTTGGGCCAGCTGTGTCAGAACTCAGTCATGGGTCGGCTCGGAGGGTCACAGTGCCCCTCACCTCAGGCAGGAAGCACCCGCAGATTCTGGTCACCCCTCTCCCATTCTTAGCTGCGAGAGCCAGCGCTGCCAGATGAGTGTGCTGGCCTAGAGCAGCGTGGTGACTGAGTGTCCAAGCAGGAGGACATGGCTGCATCGGAGAGATGCGCGCTTTGAGGCAGGAGGCCCAAGAAAGGGGAGTCGGGGTGACCCAGGTGCAGAAGAGACCAACAGCTGCTGTGCTCTGGCCTTTCAGGGTCTGCCCACACACGACATGGAGGGCAAAGAGCTCAGCAGAGGCCAAGCCAAGAAGCTGAAGAAGCTCTTCGAGGCTCAGGAAAAGCTCCACAAGGAATATTTGCAGATGGCTCAGAATGGAAGCCTCCAGTGAGGGGGCATGGGACTGACTTTTGAAGCCATTGTGGACTGGTGGCTCCTGTCTGCCTCAGTGACAATGCCGCAATGCTCCAGTCATGTTTACAGTCACCCTCGGCTCCTAAATTAAGGGTTGTGTTCATGTATGTTCATGTTGTTGTTGGCTCTGAGACATTAGTAATAAATTTTTCTCAACTGTGAGACCCTCTCTGCCTCACTCTGCATGTTCAGTGCTTGGCAGGGTGGCAATGAGACCCTCTCTGCCTTGCCCTGCATGCTCAGCACTTGGCAGGGGGCCTGGTGGCCAGCTGGGGCTGCTTGGTCAGCAGGTCACAACTTAGGTGTTTGGGTCAGTTGAGCTGCTTCAGCTGGCCAAGGAATTTCTCCCCCATGCTGATGGCTATCGGCTAATCTCTGGTGTGTGGGCACATTTGGAGGTATTTGAGTAGGAAAAAGACAGGCTCAGACTGGCAGAGCCTGCTGAGCCCTAGACAAAGGCCGCTCAGTCAGCCCTCGGGTTCTGATGAATAAACACGCTGCAGGTTTTCCTAGAGCCGCTCCATACTGGGCAGAAGCAAAGCGAGCGGCTCAGCAGGCGGGCCCCTGGCGCACTGCCCAGAGCTGCCGTTGGAGACAGCAAGTCCAGGATCTGCATGGCTGATGGGTGATTTGTGGGGGTGGTGGTGGTGCTCAGCACAGCAGGGGCCGTCTGTCCCAGTGTCCAGTGTTGTCCTTGCCATCCTGCCTCCACACTTGGATCACCTGGACTAAGAATCACCGCCCAGATGTGAAGGTGTTTACCATCCTTGGCTGAGGAGGGGATAGCAGAAGTCAGAGCCTGCTTTGTGCCTGTGGAAGCTGCTGCCAGGCCAGATCCATTGGGACAAAGGACAGTCATTATTGCTGTGGACAGCCGGGGACACTCAATCCAGTGCTCGTGGATGGTGGCAGCAGCCCCAGCGTGGGGAGTGTGGCAGTGTTGGGTTGTGGGTGCACCAGTTCTTTTCCTTGCACTCCATGTGTTTACTGCAGTGGCGTGTGACACAGCAAAAGGCTAGAACCGGCCTGTCTGTGCATCAGCAGGGTGCTTGGCACAGCTTGAGAGCACCCACCCAATGACACAGGGAGCACTAAGGTTATAAATCAATGAGGACTGCCTCTATATGTTAATAGGTCTGACTTTGAACCTTGTGTTTTATATGTAAAAGAAATTTAGGCCAGGCGTAGTGGCTCACACCTGTAATCCCAGCACTTTGGGAGGCCGAGGTGGGCAGATCATGAGGTCAAGAGATTGAGACCATCCTGGCCAACATGATGAAACCCTGTCTCTACTAAAAATACAAAAATGATTAGCCAGGCATGGTGGCGCATGCCTGTAGTCCCAGCTACTTGGGAGGCTGAGGCAGGAGAATTGCTTCAAACCGGAAAATGGAAGTTTCAGTGAGCCGGGATCACGCCACTGCACTCCAGCCTGGTGATAGAGCAAGACTCCATCTCAAAAACAAACAAACAAAAAAAACAGTAAGAAAGAAAAGTCCCCCAAACAAAGTAAAACAAACATGTTCCAGTTATCTGTTGCCTCTTTAACAAATCACCCCAAAACTTCATGACTGAAAACAACTATCATGTTATGACTCATGGCTCTGGATTGACTGGGCTTAGCTGATCGGTTTTTGGTTACAGGGAGATGGGGTCATCTCTAGGTTTGTGCCTGGGTCCCATACTGGGATGGCTTGGGCACCTTTTTTCTCTGTGTGGTCTCTCCAGCTTGGCAGCTTCAGGGTGGCTGATTTCTGTTGCAGCATCCTATAGTGCCAGGGGTGCAAGTCCTGGGACAGAGAGGCAGGAGCTATATGGCCTTTTAGGATCTAACCTTGGAGGTCATGTCTTGACTTCCACTGTCCTCCCTAGTGGAGGGCATCACAAGGCCCACCCACATCCATGGGAGGGGGAGGCATAGATGCCACTCTGTGATGGGCATTACTGGGTTCCAGAAGGGATGGGAGATACTGCTGCTATTTCAGAAAGTACCATCTGCCACAAAAACACAAATCAAATTGGACGCCTCAAGAAAAGAACTTCAGCTTTCTAAGAATTGGCCATATTTGTTACACATCTTTAATAGGGTATTTTCTAAAGTCAAAAAAAGTGTAGAAAAGCCAATTTTAAGAAATAGTTTTGTTGTTAGTAGTCATATTGAAATTGTTATTTTCAAACCCTATATGCCAAGACAAATAAGATCACTGATGTCAGCAACCAAAACAATGTTTTTTAGATGGAGCCTCCCTCTGTCACCCGGGCTCCAGTGCAGTGAAGTGATCTCAGCTCACTGCAACCTCCACTTCCCGGGTTCAAGCAATTCTCCTGCCTCAGCCTCCTAAGTAGCTGGGACCACAGACACGTGCCACCATGCCCAGCTAATTTTTGTATTTTTAGTGGAGATGGGGTTTTACCATATTGGCCAGGCTGGTCTTGAACTCCTGACCCCAAGTGATCTGCCCCCATCCACCTCCCAAAGTGCCAGGGTTACAGGTGTGAGCCACCGTGCCCAGCCTAGCAACCAAGTTTTCAGTGCAAGAGAAAAAAATACAAGGATAAAATCAAAGAAGTCAAGGAAAATCACTTTATTATTAAATATGAATTAGAAAAACAACATGAACTGACTTGCGATTTAAAAACATAGATTGTTTCCTGGCTATGTAGATGGGAGGGGGAGAAGCAAGGCATCCCTGGTGTCAGTGGGCAGTCCCGGCCCCAATCTACGGCTCTGAACCCCACCGCCACCCCTTGGAGAAACGGCTACTTCCAGGTCTGCAGCAGCAGGAGTAGCTGAGCCCCGGCCCTGTTGTGCCCCAAAAGGGAAGCTTTCGAACACCAAGGAGTCAAGTCAGAAGGTCACAGGACAAGCTAGTGACACACAGCAGCTGGGTGGTGTGTGTCAAGGGCATTCTGCTAGGTGGAAAAGCCACCCCTGAAAGGTCGCATGCTGTGTGACTCCACATAGATAATATTCTCAAAATCCAAGCTGTAGGACTAGAGAACAGATGGTGGTAGCCAGGGTTAAAGGTGGGGGCAGGTTCGGAGGGAGTGACTGCACAGGGACAGCAGGGAGGTTGGCAGGGAGGGCACTTCCTTGTTCTTTTTGCCATGGTGATCACAAATCTGCATGTGTGATAACAAAAGCTAGAACCACACACACTGTACCAGTGTCAGTCTCCTATGTTGATCTTGTACTCTGGCCAGGCACAGTGTGACCATCAGGAGACCACGTAGACAGCACACAAGCCTCTACTAATTTTGCAGTTTTCTGGAAACCTGTAATTACTTTTAAAATAAGGCTTCGGGGCCGGGCGCGGTGGCTCAAGCCTGTAATCCCAGCACTTTGGGAGGCTGAGGCGGGTGGATCATGAGGTCAAGAGATCGAGACCATCCTGGTCAACATGGTGAAACCGCGTCTCTACTAAAAATACAAAAAATTAGCTGGGCATGGTGGTGCATGCCTGTAATCCCAGCTACTCAGGAGGCTGAGGCAGGAGAATTGCCTGAACCCAGGAGGCGGAGGTTGCGGTGAGCCGAGATCGTGCCAATGCACTCCAGCCTGGGTAACATGAGTGAAACTCCGTATCAAAAAAAAAAAAAAATAAGGCTTCGGGAGCTCCTACTGGGTACGTTTGGGACAATTTGAGCACTGAAAAGAATGCTTCCAGTCAGGGCAACATAGCGAGACCTCATCTCTACTAAAAATCAAAACAGTTAGCTGGGGTGGTGGCACATTTGTGATCCCAGCTACTCAGGAGGCTGAGGTTGGAGGATGGCCTGAGCATGGGAGGTCGAGGCTGCAATGAGCTGTGATCGCGCCACCGCACTCCAGTCCAGGCAACACAGCGAGACTCTGTCTTTAAAAAAAAAAAAAAAAAAAAAATTAGTCGAAACCCAGGCATCTGTATTTATTCTCAAAAATAGAGAAAGCTAAAACATACTGTCATTACTGGAGGTGGCTCCTGTGTGAGCTCCTTCTGTAGAGTTACTCAGTGACAGAACCAAGCATTCCTCCTTGCATAGGAAGTGTATTTTGGGGCCACCAAATGGCCCTAGCTGAAGGGGGAAAGTAGTTCTTTCCCCAAAGATGCCAGCTAATAGAAGAAGCACCAGGATTAGATATCTCCGTTCTGCAACCCCGCATGAAGTCACTGATTCAGGCAAGGGCTGACCTCGGATGCTAAGACCCCTGGGTGAAAGCTGGTAGGTGCTGGATAATTTCATGATGCCAAAGTGTCACCCTGCAGGTGGCATGTAGGTCTCCAGGAGGAGATACGTGTTACTTTCCAATGCTGGGCTCTGCCGGTCCGTTCACTCCGCCCAACCACCATCCCCACAAAAAGAAGGATTTCCCCTAGAAATGTAAGTCAGTATTGAATGAAGCCTTTAGGTGAGGGCTTCTCAACCTTGAGCGTGCATATAAACCGCCCGGAGTTGCTTGTTAACACAGATTCCAGTTCAGGTCTAGGAGGAGCCCCAGGTTCCACATTCCTGCAGTCTCCCAGCTGAGGCCTGGGCTGCTGGGCTAGAGCCCCCTCAAGAGCAAGGCTGTCCAGCTCACCTCTTGCCTCCAGGAAATACCGGGCACAGAGAGACCGTGCAGGTGAGGCCATGAAGCAGCCACCAGACTCGTGCAGAAGGTGGGGCATTGTGTCAGATGCCAAGGTGGTGTCTTCAATATGCCTGTGTCAAAGGGAGCAGAAGACGGCAGAAAAGAGGGACTGGGAGAGACTCAAGAAACAAAACCACCGGTTTTGAGGGGTGATCTTTGAAGGATTCGAACCAACCTGCTGTAAAGAGATTTCAAGAAATTTGAATGACCAGGTATTGGATGACAGTAAAGATTTTTGCTAATTTTGTTAGTGTGATAATGGAGGCTGCAAAGAGAGGCGTCCTTAACGAGATACAAAGTAACCTGAGGCCTCTAACTCGGTATCCTTCAGCCACAGAAACTGATGAAGCGCAGCGCACCCCAGCAGCTGGAATCCCTTCCACAGTGTATCCTCTCCTGTACTGGAAACCAGGTATCACGTCTCCTTACAACCGGGCCAGGAGGAAACACTCTTGTCTTTAGCTGCCGCCCTGGCGTGAGCGGACGTTGGCCCGAGGCCACGGTGCCATCCAAGGCGGCAGGAAGGAGTGGCCTGTGCCCAGTTCCCAAGGGCGGCTGCACGAAAACGTGTCCAGTTTGCCAGGGGCATGCCTGGTCCCCACAGCTGGTGAAGGCCTACCTCCACCTGGACTGGAGTAGGGCCAGGCTGTGGCCCGTTTCACGCCCCTGCATTCAGTGATTCCGGGCCGCTTTCCTGCCTGAAGTTTGCCCGCTCTGAGTGCCCACTGACCGGTGCTCCTTCTCCCTGCCCTCCCCCAACTTCCTCGAGTCTCCCCCGGCTGGGTTGAGGGCCTGCCGTGACAACAGGCTGACTGGACCCAGGCTGCTGGCTTGGCCCCCAGGAGGACCCCAGCACCTCCCTACCCTGAAGTGTTACTGTCAGGGTGCAGCAGATTCTTCTGGAACAACATGGTGTGGACATTTTTCTTGTGTAATATTAGTTTGCCTGTGAAAAGTGCCTTTGTGTGTGTACACGAAAGCTCTGTTCAGCTGGAAGAGCCAGATTTACATCTTCCTCTTTTTCCACAAAAAGCAGTCTTTGGTGTCTTCACTATAAGAACATCATGGGCCGGGTGCTGTGGCTCACGCCTGTAATCCTAGCACTTTGGGAGGCCGAGGTGGGTGGATCACCTGAGGTCAGGAGTTCAAGACCAGCCGGGCCATCATGGTGAAACCCCATCTTAAAAAAATATATATATATATATATATATTCATTATTTAAAAGTAAATAATACAGGCCAGGCACAGTGGCTCATACCTGTAATACCAGCACTTTGGGAGGCCGAGGTGGGCGGATCACGAGGTCAAGAGATCGAGACCATCCTGGCCAACATGGTGAAACCCCGTCTCTACTAAAAATACAAAAATTAGCTGGGTGTGGTGGCACACACCTGTAGTCCCAGCTACTCCGGAGGCTGAGGCAGGAGAATTGCTTGAACCCGGGAGGTGGAGTTTGCAGTAGGCTGAGATTGCACCACTGTACTCCAGCCTGGCACCTGGCAACAGAGCAAGACTGTCTCAAAATAATAATAATACCGAAAATTTCCAATATAAAGTAGAAACTGAAAGGCCCTATGCCCTGCTTCTCAAATCCCTGCAACCTTTGGGGTACGGTCTTCCAGAAGCCTTCTTTCTGAGGGTGTGACATTGCAGAGCCACTCCCTGTGTACCCCTCTTTCATGTGGAGTATACTGTGGGTGTTTTCTGTACTCCATATACCAGAAGGAACCTGCCTCCTCTCCAGGATGTCTCTGGAGCCCCGGTTTGCTAATGCCGCATAGGCTGAGCCACCACCCTACTGAGGGGGATGTGGGCATTTCTGAGGCCTAGGCTCCAGCTCTTGCTGGCTGTGAGGTCGCCCAGCAGGTGAAGGGCATGGCCCCCTCCAGGGTCAGAGCAACTTAGCCGGGAACACTACAGGGATTTCTGTTTTATCCTCTGTTGAATGGGGCAGTGATTCCTGCCTTCACTTGCAGGCTAACACGTAGCCATTGTCAGTAGCGCCCAGGTAAGGGCACAGCTCACCAAGTGCCAGGCGCTTTTCCAGGTATTGGCAACGCAAAGGAGAAAGATGCGGTGTGGTGACTGTCTAGGGCTGTCTCCCGGAGCCCCAGTGAGGACAAGGCAGCCACAAGCAGAACCACAGGCAGGGCAGCCTCTGGAGGGGACTCCTGATCTCCAGGTTGGGGGAGGCTGAGGTGGCAGAGGGGCTGTAGACAGGTGGGCTCAGGCCTGAGGCCTGGCAGAGGCAGCACTGGGAAAACAGGGAGGAACCCCACCGAGTGCTGAGAAGCCTGGGGCTACCCTGGGAGTCCTGATCCCAGTGGCCTTCAGCCCTGGCTGCACATCAGCATCATCTGGGGACTTCTCTGTTTTGACACAGGGTCTTAGTCCTGCTCTGTCACCCAGGCTGGAGCGCAATGGCACGATCACAGCTCACTGCAGCCTCCAACCCCTGAGCCCAAGTAATCCTCCCACTTCAGCCTCCTAAGCAGCTGGGACTGTAGATGCACCACCATGCCCGGCTAATTTTTAAATATTTTGTAGAAATGGGATCTCATCATGTTGCCCAGGCAGGTCTCAAAACTCTTGGGGTCAGGCAATCTGCCCACCTTGACCTCATTACCTAATTGCATCTGTGAAGACTATTTCCAAATGAGTCTCTTCCAAGGAGAGAAACCACCACCACCAGTCATTCCAGTTCCAGCAGATCCCCTAAGCAGCAGGTCCAGCTGCCCCCAGCACCAAGGCCCAGCTCCCTCAGGGGCTCCACCCACCCTGACGCCACCCTTACCAATCCAACATCCAAAAGCAGCTGGATCTCATTATTGCAAACGGACTTGAGACTTTATTCGACGGGAGGAAGGACCCTCAAAACTGCAAAAGCCCAGGTTCTTTTCTTGTGTCGTCTCTTTCGTTTATGCCTCCGCAAAGCATAAAGCACGACCATTGTAGAAAAGTCGGAAAGTCTAAATAAGGAAAATAGGAACTGAGAGCACACACCCTCGTTCCTAAAACACAGATGGCCAGAAAGGACTCAGCACGCTGTGTGGGTCAGGCTTCCGCCAGGCACTGGTCACCTCTGAGGGTTTTTAAAAATGTTTTTTGTTTTAATTATTTTGTTTTTTTTGAAACAGGGTCTCCCTCTGGTTACCCGGGCTGGAGTGCAGTGGCCACACCTCTGCTCACTGCAGCCTTGACCTCAAGGGCTCAGGGAATTCTCCCACCTCCCACCTCAGCCTCTCAAGTAGCTTTACAGGCCTGAGCCACCACACCCGGGTATTTTTTGTTGTTGTTGAGATGGAGTCTCGCTGTGTCGCCAGGCTGGAGTGCAGTGACACTATCTTGGCTCACTGCAACCTCTGCCTCCCGGGTTCAAGAGATTCTCCTGCCTCGGCCTCCCAAGTAGCTGGGACTACAGGTGTGCGCCACCATGCCCAGCTAGTTTTGTATTTTTAGTAGAGACGGGGTTTCCCCATGTTGGCCAGGACGGTCTCAATCACTTGACCTCATGATCCAGCCGCCTCGAACTCCCAAAGTGCTGGGATAACAGGTGTGAGCCACCGCGCCCTGCCTAATTATTATTAATTTTTTTGTAGGCAGGGAGGGGTGCTCTTGCTATGCTGCCCAGGCTGGACTTGTTGCCTCTACCTCCCAGAGTGCTGGGCTTAGAGGCCTGAGTCACGGCGCTCCGCACTAATTTTTTTTCGGAGATGAGGTTTCACTATGTAGCCCAGGCTGGACTTGAATTCCTGGGCTCAAGGGATCCTCCTGCCTCAGCCTCCCAGCTTCCCTTTGAGGTTTATAAGCGACCCTATGTTCTTAAGCCCCCACCCAGGAGCCTTGAGATGGTTCCAGATTTTCCCCATTACAGGAATAACTTGCTAATAATAATTGTTTCAAAAGTAACCTCACCCTAAAAAAGAGAACGTTTCGGAAAAAAATGCACAGAAGTCATGAAGACCCGCGATGGCACGGTTGAACATGGAGCTGAATCAGCCTCAAAAGCCCCAGCGTAGGGGTTATTTTCCAATCAAAGTGGATGTCTTTCTACAAAATGTGGAGAGGCTGGAGCTGGTACCTTCACCCCAGCCTAGAGGGCACCCTGAGAGGCAAGGCCCCGCCGTCTGCCCTGCTCTGCTTCAGGGGCCTGAGCTGAGGGCCCAGCGCGCCCTGCCTTTCCTCCCGGTGCGGCAGGGTCTCCCCCAGGCCAGAGCTGGGCTGCTGGGGCACTGCGGGGCTCGGGGCGCGCGGGGAGAGACGCAGGAAGTGGGTAGTCCCGCCGCGTCCGCGGAGGGACCCAGCCGCACCTCTTCGCAGGCGTGTTCTCCGACCTGGGACCTCGGGGGTGCGCAGGGGTTAGGCTGAGGCCCCAACCACGAACGGGGCTGGGAAAACGGCTCCAGGCGGAGGGGCCCCCGCGAGGTACGCAAGGAGTTGCGCGAGGCGCCGCCGTGGGAGGCGCGGTTCTCACATCGGCGGAGCGCGGAGGGCTGGAGGCACCGCCCGGCGGCGGACGGGATGGAACTGGGGCACTGGGAGGGCGCAAGAGACGAGGACGGCCGGGGCCCACGGAGGGCCGAGGCGCCCGGTCTCCCGCGAGGATGCGGTGCCACCCGGGAGGGTCCCAGGAGCGTGGACCCGGGCCCGCCCGGAAGGAACCACACCGCGTCTCCACCGCGCCCCGTCCCATTTAAAGAGGCGGAGGAACGCAGGGCGCCTGCCGCGCGGAGGAAATTTGCATACGGCGCGGCGCTTCTTCGGAGGCTTCTGATTGGCTGCCGTCTGCGGCGCGAAGCGCAGTGGACTTGCGCCGCGTTCGCCCAATCGCAGCCCGTCTTGCTCGCGGAGAGAGGAGCCAGGAGGCTCGGCCAATGGGAGGCGGCGTTGTTGGCGGCCACGGCGGCGCAGCCCCAAAGTGAGCGAAGCCACGGTCGCCGCCACTGCCGCAGGAGGCGCGAGGTGCGGAGACGCGGGCGCTGGGCGGGTAACTGCGCGCTGGAGAGGGCGGCCGGGCCGGGGCTGGCGGGAGGGGCCGCGGGGCCGGGGTGGGCAGGGCCGGCGGCCACCGAGGGAAGCCGCGGGGCGGCGGGCAGGGGCGGGGCCGCGTCCTCGCCTGGGCGGACGGCGGCGGCCGCGACGGGCCTGGGGTTTGGGGCCTGGAGCCCGGGCCTGGGGCGCTGGCGAGCGGCCCCTCCCAGACCCTGGGGCGCCCCGCCCGGCCGCCCGCCGCCCTGAAGGTCAGGGCGCTTTGTTCTGCGCCGCGGGCGGCCTCCTGGGCGGCGGCCACGCGGAGGAGGCGAAGACGGCGAGAGGCGGCGGCCGCTCAAATCTCCCGCTAGCCCGGCCCGCCCCGCGTGCGGGGGCCGCGGCGGTTCCACGGCAGGGCGCGCCGGAGCGTTCCGGCTTCCCGTTTTTAAGGTGGCGACGTCCGGGTCCTCTCGGTTAGATGTTGAGGAGTTTGAGCGTTTCCGTGGGGCGATGGTCGTCGTGAGCCTCGGTGGGGTCGGGCTGGGCTCCCCGGGGCTGTGGTTGTAAGTTTCGCGTGGCCGAGGGCATGTCTGACGGGGGGGGTCCTCGGCCTCGCTCCTTCGCTGTGGGTGCGCTGGGCGGCGTGCGCTCCCCCAGGACTGGCCGCCTGGGGGGCTCAGACCGGTCACTCACGGGACGCGCTGCGCTAGCCCAGGTGGGCAGTGAGTCTTCACTGTTTTAAAGTCCGCTCTCGCAAGGGAAAAGCGAAATCTCCAAATGTCATTGTGCGTGTTACGGATGGGAAAGTGCCATGCTTTTCTTTCCGCTCAGAGATGGCGAGAGAGGTCACGTTTGTGTATTTTGACACGACCAGAGTCTTGTCTTTTTTTTTTTAATTTTCCCCTTCTGAGTGTTCTCCGTTCACCCCAGCGGAGGATGGCCTGGTCATGATAAGACTTTTAACCGTCCGCAGTTCTCTGATTGCGGTGCAGGACGCAAACAAGTTTAGGGTCCAGTAAAGGGGACTCCAGCCGTGGGACCTTTAGACCCTCACGTGTGTCACATCACCTGCCTGGGGGACTCTGCGCCCCTCTGGCAGGAAGGTCCGCCGTTTCATCCTGTTGTCGGAGGAACCGTCGGGGCACATACCCAAGTCTGCATTACTCTTTCCTGTAGTAGCCCCTTGCCTCAACTTCCTGCGTTTATACGTGTAAAAATAGACTTTTGAAAATTCTCTTACCTTAAAAATACACAAGTATATAGATGAGGTTGTTGGACCTCAAAGGTAAGTCTTTTTAAGTTACTGCCCTCCTGCAGTAGTAAATATACCTCTAAATGACTAATACCTGTTCACTGCGCACTAGGCCTCCAGCCTAATTACGTGTGTTAACTCATTTCATAATCTAGTAACCTGTGAGATCAATACTATTGTTTTTCCATTTAACCACTCTGGAGGCCGAGGCCCTGGGAGTTTATGCATAATGACTTGCCCAAGTTTAGATAAAGACCCGGGGCGGTTTTAACTTTACCCAGGTTTATCGTTTCTGTAGAGGGAATGAAAGAAGTTTTAAAGAAAAATTGTTTTCATTATTGTACTAAGCCTAACTGAACTCTGGCTTGTGTGGAGTTGAGCTGCTTGATCTTTACCACCTCGAAATTATATTATTCCACAGAATGCCAAATGCCTCCCATAGTAGAATTTTGAGATTCAGACTGGGGTGAACGATTGCTGATGGAATAAATAATACGCAAATGTAAAATGAAGTTCAGAGAAAGGAGCGTGGTGATAGCATCCGGATATATTCCAAAGATTAAGTGAGGGACTGCAGAGAGAAAAATGAATTATTTAATAGTAGTTCACCAGTTTACTTAGAGACATTTTTATGAGAATTTTAGGGCCTCATGGTGTGATTTTTATAACACCTTACTGCTGTCTTAAATAGCTGTTATTATGTATACAATTGCAGTCTTTTTTTTTTCCTGGTTGAGCAGTTACTGTTACAGAATGTCTGCCATTGCTTGTGCCTGTATATCATAACATCTTAACAGTTTGTGAATTCTGTTGTGTAAGCCTTAAATCCTGTATTAGTTTTCGAAATGAATATAGTTATTGGGGAAATTGGTTGAATTCTTTGCAGTAGCAGAGAAATTTTAATCATTTTTAAGTTTCATAACCTTGGTAAACTGAATTCTGAAAAGTTTACACGTGTTTTAGGGTTTCCTCAAAATGTACAGGATATTGTTTGCAAATTAGTCATTTGGACATCGGATTCTTCTGTAGGATTTTGAGATTTTTACCCACAAGAGGTAGTTCTTATTTGTATGGCAGTTAAGTACCTGGGCATGGGATGTGTTCACCCCTTTACAGTATGAATTTGAACTTGAAGCTGAAATCACTTCCATTAACCTATCAGTTTTTAGTAGCCTGTTGTTATTGATGGCATATTAATTCCCTGTGTTAGCTATTTGCAGCTAAGTGTGGAGATTGAAAGCTTTATTCTGTTTTTCTTCTTTTGAGCAATTGGTAGTCTCTAGCATCTGGAGGAAGTGACCTCATATATATGTACATATAGTAGTGCTTTTCTTTCTTCCGTTTGTCTGCAGTTTAAAAACTATTGTGATAAATTTATGTTGTACTTTCAAAAATTTTGCGAAAGGGCCTTAATTTTTCAGTTTGTTTTGGAAGAAAAATACTTTGTGGGCAAGAAGGTGATTTAAATTCCTGATGGCCTATGGGCCATCAGCTGTGTGAAATAGGCAAATGCTGTTACAGCTGGGAACCAGTGATGGTTTATATTTGAATGACAGCAGGGACGAGCTTGTTGGGCGTTTGGCCTGAGCCTGCTAGCGGAGGAGTACTTACTTTTTGTTTGCTTGAAGGAAACTGTTTTACGCATCCAGAGTCAAAAGCTGGGTTACTTGGTTTGATTCTTCCACCACTACGGCGATGGGAAGTAGCTGATCTCTGCAGGAAACTGCTCTCATCCGGCCTCAGCTTAATTTTTGTGGGACCTCTGAGGTTCGAATTTATGCCTCCCGAAACTACAGTTGTAAGGTTTGTCTTTGAGCATGTAGTAATGGAAAGCCCTTATCGATGGGTAGATAGTAAATAATTTTGTATTTGACTGCTGTGAAATTTGTAAGAAGTAGTTTGTGATGATGGATGTAAATTTGTTTTCCTCTGGCAGCCGTTCGTTTCTCATTCTGCCTCTTAAGAGAGAACAGGGCTGCTTTACTTTGTTTGCCAGAGCTTTACATTTTGCATTTAGTAACAGAGGCATTGTGTTTTTTTTAATTATGGAAACTATGAAAGATCACTTTGTGAACTTTACTTTTGGATTTTGACCACTTCGTAGCCTTAAATTTCTTCCTACAAGTATTCTCTGTGTTAGCTGTTAAAACTAAATGTACGTTCATTCCATGTCCTTGGGACTTTTAAAAATGCGCCATGCATTTATCACTATCCAGAAAAGCCTGTTCAAAAACGAGATGATTTCTGTTTAATTAATTTGCGGTAGAAAGAATGACACTACTCTTTTATGTGCAAAGTACATGTTTACTCAGTTACTGAAAAGTAGCTTTCAGTGATTTGCATCTGTTTACTTATTCATGAGCATCTTCTATGTGCTGGGCACAGTTCTAGGTACCGGGGCCTCCCACTGAATAAAACAGAAGGCTTTGCCCTGGTTTCTGCTGTGGGAGACAGACGGACAAGTTAGAGGGTGGTAGGTGCTTTTGAGAAACTGGTGAGGAGTAGGGATTTTGGTGGTCGCAATTTGAAATAGGTGGAGAGGGAAATGCCTTACTGACAAGGGGACAAGATCTTTTAGTATGTACTGGATTAAGAAAAGTGTTTTCTCATGGAGTCGTGTACTGATGAATTGCCCAGGAAAGAAGGGTGGCGTGTTGAGCAGGTAAACAAGAGTCCTTGCCCTCGTGGAACTTGTTCTTTAGAGGGCAAACATGTATTATTCATTGCCTTTTTTTTTTTTTTGAGACTGAGTCTCACTGTGTTGCCCAGGCTGGAGTGCAGTGGCACAGTCTCGCTGCAACCTCTGCCTCCTGGGTTCAAGCAATTCTCTTGTCTCAGCCTCCTGAGTAGCTGGGACTATGAGCGCCCACCACCATGCCCTGCTAATTTTTGTATTTTTTTTTTTTTTGAGACGGAGTTTCGCTCTTGTTATCCAGGCTGGAGTGCAATGGCGCGATATCGGCTCACCGCAACCTCCGCCTCCTGGGTTCAGGCAATTCTCCTGCCTCAGCCTCCTGAGTAGCTGGGATTACAGGCACGCGCCACCATGCCCAGCTAATTTTTTGTATTTTTAGTAGAGACAGGGTTTCACCGTGTTGACCAGGATGGTCTCGATCTCTTGACCTCGTGATCCACCCGCCTCGGCCTCCCAAAGTGCTGGGATTACAGGCGTGAGCCACCGCGCCCGGCCTTAATTTTTGTATTTTTTTTTTGTAGAGATAGTGTTTTACCATATTGGTCAGCTGGTCTTGAAGAGGTGATCTGCCTACCTCGGCTTCCCAAACTGCTAGTATTACAGGCATTAGCCACCATGCCCGGCTTAGGATAATGTTTTAAAGCAATGAATAGGTCAGGTGTGGTGACTCATGCCTGTAGTCCCAGCACTTGGAAAGGCCGAGGCAGGTGGATCACCTGAGGTCAGGAGTTTGAGACCCTCTTGGCCAACATGGTGAAACCTCATCTCCATTAAAAATGCAAAAATTAGCTGGGCGTGGTGGTGCATGCCTGTGGTCCCAGCTTCTTGGGAGGCTGAGGCAGGAAGGAGAATGGCTTGAACTTGAGAGGCAGAGGTTGCAGTGAGCTGAGATCATGTCACGCTGCACTCCAGCCTGGGCAACAGAGCGAGACTCCGCCTCAAAAAGCAAAAGAAAAAAAACGAAAACATTGTCTTGGAAAGTTTAACAACATGATTAACTTCTGATCCTGGACAGTGGTAGTGATAGATTCCGTCAGGAGTCTA